TGATAATCCTGAATCCTTCACCGATTACATGCGTGGGAAATGACGAAAAATAATTATGTAAAATAATTAACCTAATATGTCTTTGGCCATGAATGCAACTCACTATGCTGAACTTTATACATCTGATCTGACAGTCAAAACTATGTGCATGACTGTATGGCCCAATGTATGTTAATTGTTTCAGGGAAATTTTTGTTTTCAGATTAAAGTATAACAATATTTTCTGCATTCCAATATATTTTCTACATGCAAGTGCGCCTTCTGTTTCAGATAGGGGCCAAATCATTTGAGGCCGAATGGGATATAGCCAATGATTGGAGGGTAATGTTAGCAAATTTGACTCCCTTACATAATGTCAAGTTATCACTGGTCAATTTTTAAATTTCTTACAATTTCACATCAGGGAGGTCATTGCCCCCCCCCCCCCTCCTTCCCATTATCCAGAAGTGTGACTAAGCATATTCTAGTATCTATCCAGGTGTCCAATCTAAATCTCCACCACAACAGGATGTATACCTGAGTGATGGTAAGGCAAGTGGGGTTAAAATTCTGATTTACCAATATATTACTATACATATGCACATTAAAAATATGAAAAGTTTTCCAGTTCAATATATCTATAGCAGGAGGCTTAAACCAGAATTTCAGAATACAAAGCAACTTTTATGTCATTTTTGTAATGGTTTGTTTAAAATCCATTTTTATACAGACATGGTAGGGTGTCTCCTGGCTAGAAGCCTGCATATACATATACAAATTTTCAGTTTTGTCAATAATAATAGTTTATTTTATAATTTCAATTCTTACAAGATTTGCAATAAGTCAACAGAATAAGCATTCTATTCTGAACTGTTGACAGGAAACAGTGTAAATTCATGATCTCATCCAATATGACACAAGAATTTGAGACCCCCACCTCGGGCATACCAGGGGCATTCACTTAATTTGGTGTGTGAAATTCAGTGAAGTCCCCTGCAGCCAGGACAAAATGGCAAGGTAAATTTCTTCGGTCCTATCATCCCCAGGTATTCAATTGGAATTTTTACTTGAAATTTCCCAAACCATTCCTTTACTGTTCTGTAAAAGCCTTTCCTAGCCGACTGCTTTATTTCAGCATTTATATAAAAGACTAAGTGACCCCCTCCCCCATGACCTCATTCATTCCTCGACTTGGACACTGAAAGTAAGTGTCTTCCCTGTTTGCCAAGAAATGATAAACCAGTGAATAAGAGGCGATTGTCCTTGCATTCCCCTCTGGTATGCCAAAGGTGCAAGGATTCAAATGACTGGTGAAATTGAATATGCTTATAAGCTTATTCACTGTATTTAATTAAAAGCTATTAAAATTACTCACTAATAATACAACTGAGAAAAATTCAGAAATAGTAAAATACATCCATAATATTCCATATGCTATATTTATAAATTCCAATTGGCCATTTTAACATAGGGCCATTTTAATATAGGCGGGTATTAAATAGGCCAAGTGACCAATACCAAAAGCATAATAATTAATAAAACACAATATATTACACCATTAAAACTTTACTATCGTAACTATATATTTTTAAACATTTTATATTTACAGTGTGCTTAAAATTTTACAATTATACTTGAGCACAATGTTTTAATTATAATAGACAACTTTATAACAAGAAAATGTTAAAATGAAGAAACTTTTTAATGGCTTCATAATTGACGTTTCTTCGATATTGTTGCTTACTTCTACTTTATAATTGTCCATTTTGTTATTTTCTTTCTTTCTGTTTGCAAATTATCTCCATTAATCCATAGAAAACAAGCAGTATACGTTTGTATTTCTTCGTATTTCGAACCACGGTTCGAACGCGCACTCCTTGAAGGCAGCCATATTGCCGAATATAAACATCCACTTGATGAATAAACTTTTCATATTTCACTCTATTTCCAACGACCAATCAAATCACTTCTGCTTCGGCTTGTCCCAGGGCTTATGGCAACGCAGGCAGCCGAGAAGCCCTGGGAACGAGGATGATACTTGATATTATAAACATTGTGCCCAGGCTCTTTGCTCGGTTCAATGTGAAACAACTTCATTTCAGACACAATCAGACACCGTTTTTACTGCATTTTTTATAGAAAACGAAGGTTTACTCTGAGCAAAACAAATGGGTATTGCAAAAAGTGTTAAATAATGAAAAAATCTAAAATAATGAAAAATTTCACGCGGTACGAAAAATACACGCGGGTGGGTTACGGTAAGCTGATACCTTACTTCCATCGGCCTTAAATATGTGGGATATATATTTGCACAAATTTGGTATTTAAATCTATAATATGTGGTATTCGACTACTTACCAGATGAGGATAAGATTCCATGTTGATAGATAACTTCAGAATAATATTGCAAGTAGAATAGCGAAACAACAAGACAGCCAATTCAACTGATAAATTGATAAAAATATCAAGATATTTTTCAAAGAATAACATGAATACACAAGGCTAAAGTATGCCCGTTCGCAGGTTAGATGCGGGCACAACGTAAACAATTGATGTAACCTGATCGCTCATTGGCTTGAATTGCCTTAAATTATATAAGCTTGTCGCTGAATGACTATGTGTTAACCTACGGTACGGTACGGTACGATACGGTCATGTTTGCGATAGCAATATATCTGCTTCGCAGATACAAAAACATGAAAGACTCAGCTAAAAGAAGGGAGCCGACGTTAACAAAGGTAAGTTTGTTTTAAATATTGATTTTATAATGGCTTTAAAACCCGACGGCCTTTGCGTATATGAACTGACAACTATTACAAGACAGCATACAATTTCAATGTATCTTTAATATTGATTCCCTTTTTTATTATATTGAATTTTTTAAATAAAAAAGAAAGCAAAGTTATTTGCAAGCGAGAATTTGAAATCATTTTATTGCAAACTCAAAGTTTATCGATAAAGCCATTTAATTAAAGGTAGTTTCATTTTATAAAGAACACTTTAAAACGTTTTGCAAAGCGTTTGTGGTTGAATTTTACCTTAAATTGAAGCTTATGTTACATATAATAACATACCTAACATATAGATGTTGGGAAATTGATAATTTTGTAATTGAAAGTGATATTTTTAGGCAATTTTTCATTTGTAAGAATATTCTTAAAAAATAATATGTTACCATGACAACTACTTTAAATACTTCATGTTCGGAAAATACAATGGTTTTGTCAGCAAGGCAAGGGTTTCTGCATGCATGTATTTTCTAGTATGGAAAATAACTTAACACCTACAATAATCATATATTATATGGATGGATCAGATAAATGGCACACAATGTATGTACAAAACTAAAGTTGTGATACCTTCTACTCAAACTGATATGCTGTGTTAAACTGAACAGTGTTGTATATCATTAACTGTGCACAGGATTGGAATTGAATTATATACTACTCTTATGACCTTCAAAACATTCTCTACTATTCAGTGTTCTTCGACTATGATTGACTCATTGCTACAGTAATGCATGTTCCTCGGCTCGAATAGTTTGTGTATGTTACTCAATAGTTAATATTGCCAAGTGTAAACAACAAGTGACAGAACTTTTGTTTCATATGACTACAATAAAGTTTCGAAAATTTGATATGTATGGGGATTGACAAGTGGCAGTTTACTAAATGCATGGTATTCTCGCCTGCGAAAGACAAATCAATATGAAAACCCTGAGAAATTTAGGCAAAGGCGATATTTGATGGCAGAGCTAACAGGTAAATATTTCACATACTTTTAATTTTTAAAAGATAGTCGGAGGAGTTATTGATAGAATATAATCCATTATATAACAGGCTCTTTGTATAGTATAACATATTATGTATAATATAATATATTCCCGCATGTATCCCCCATTTAAGTCTTGTCTTAAAAAATATAGAAACATTGTTTTTATATTCAAAGTTTTTTGGGTTTTTTTACTTTACTAGCTTTGTTAACCCATTGAGTGGCGATGCACCCTGATGCACCCTACTTTAGTATTTTACTCTGTCTAACGCCAGACAATTTTACACGTCAAGGGGAGAGTGCTGGCTTAATCGGTATAAAAAAATTTGTTTTATTTAATTCAGTTAAATCAGTTTTCCCCCTTAAATCAAAGGGGTTTTCTATATAGACTGATGACTGAAATCTGACGTGCTTGATTTTATGCAATTGTATGTGCTAAAAAGTATATATACAGGTGTAAAGGCATGAAACAATGTGCTTCTATCTATATTCTTTGTGTTTATATATACTAGAGTGTGTGGTTATTATAGTATGCATAATCTAGGGTGCCAGTAGAAGCTAGCCTAGGGGTGCCTGAAGCTCAGGATACTATGGGCAACTTATCTGGTGATATGATTTCTACCTAGCTTTCTGGCTAATGACATGTTGGATTGAGGATTCTTGTACCACTAGAAATAGGATTGTACTTGAATGTTAGGTACCAATGACAAATGTAGGTATAAGCAAAGTTATCTAGATTATAGGCTTTATAGGGTTGCACTGGATCTCATTATACAGGCCAGAACTGAGAAAGTCACACATGCTAGTCAGACATCAATTCAGAAACAATTCCACCTTGTCACCCGCATAGCGGGCTCCCATGAGATAGCATTGCGCCTGAGCAGATCAGTGCATTGCTGTTCCTTGAGCGAGACGGTCGGTATATTTGTTGAGCGAAGAAAAAAATATTTTAAATATTGCTGAAATATTAAAGAATGACAAGTAAAACCTCTAATGAGGTGCAGGTGGATGTCCACTGTGAATCTAGCGAGACGGCCAGTTCAAGCGGCAGGAGGCGTGAACCACATAGTCTGCTTGAACAAACGATAATGAGCAAACACAACTACAGCGAACCTTGGAGCAAGGGTTTGCTAAAATGGCAACTAGTCTATCTACGGCGATAGAAAATACATTTAAAAATTTCTCTGACAAATTCGATGAAGATCCTATTGAGGACAAACTTTTCACAGAACTAGAAGAACTTGAAAGAAATGGAAATGCTAATGGCAGTGATGCCGAAAATGGACAGACACAGTCAGGAAGAGCCTGACGTTTCAGACGGCACTAATGTGCAACGCATGATTGAACAAGCTCAAAATACTACTGAACAGGCTAAAGAGCCTAGTGTGCTTGATGGCATACATGGAGAAATGAAAACTGCTGAAACGGGCCCCAAGGTTAACGATGACCTTGCTGAAATGGTGAACGGACTTGTGCAGAAAGGTTTATCAGAACAAAAACTCCAAGATAAACTAAACAAGTATCCAAGCCCAGAAAACTGTGAGGCATTGTCCAAAGTGAGGGTAAATCAGCTTATTTGGGATAATTTACAACCAAATACTAGGTCACAAGACCTTCGATTTCAAAAAGTACAAATGGCTTTGATCAAAGGCATGGCGGCAATTGTTCGTGCCACTGATACAGCGCTGGCACATGTGACCACCTTGCCCGCGGGGAAGGAGATTGTTGAAAGCATGACTGATGCTATTGCTTTATGTGCTCATGCAAATTCTGAGCTTAATATTTGTCGAAAAGAGTTGATAAAACCTGACATTCACAAAGATTACAAGCATTTGTGCTCGGCCTCAGTGCCTTCATCTTCCTAGTTGTTTGGGGATGATCTCTCTAAGCAGGTCAAGGACCTTACATAATGACCAGGGATAACAACAAACCTTGTTATGCCAGAGCCCCGGCTTACAGTTATTGGGGACAAAATCGTAACATACGACCTAGGCCTTTTTTAGGCAAAAGACAGGTAGCGAGTGCGTCGCTACCTTTCCACAACAAGAGGTCTCAACGAGGCAAGTTCAAAAAATTTGCAAACTGAGTTCATCTACTGCCGAAAAGGTAAGTCATACATTTTCTCACAGTATAAAAATAGGGGGTAGACTGAAACAATTTATTCACTTTTGGGAAAAATTGACATCTGATAAATTCATACTTGAAACAATAGCAGGCTATAAAATTGAATTCAAGCCTGAGGCAATCTGTGACCATAATTGGTCTCACAATCCAGAAACAAAATTTAATGATAAAGAACAATCAATCATAGACAAAGAAATTGATAAGCTTATGTGCAAGGGAGTAATTGAAGTTACATAGCACTGTGAAGAGGAATTCGTTTCCCCAATATTCATTCGTGCTAAGAAAGATGGCAGTCATAGACTGATATTAAACCTCAAAGATTTAAACACCAATGTTGAATATCACCATTTTAAACCCTACAGTCTGCTGTTGCTCTAATGAGACCAGGGTGCTATGTGGCATCGATCGACCTCCGAGATGCTTATTATTCTGTGCCTATTGACGTGAACTACAATAAATTTTACTGGAAAGGCACACTTTGCCAGTTTACATGCTTGCCTAATGGACTAGCTTCTGGCCCACGGGTGTTTACCAAAAATCAATATATGCTATGCTGAGACAGCTGGGCCATCTTAATGCAAGCTACATTGATGACTCTTATCTCCAAGGTGACACTAGGCAAGAATGTAAAGATGTTTTGCAAACTGATGAATTGTTGAATCTGGCAGGGTTTATTATCCATCCAGATAAATCTGTCTATGAACCTGTACAAAAGCTTACCTTTTTGGGCTTTGTTATGGACTCCATTCAAATGTGAGTTACATTGACACCAGAGAAAACAGTTAATTAAAAAAAATTGTGTTTACATACCTTAAAGCACCCAAAGCTTACAATCAGAGAGCTAGCTTACTTAATAGGCATTTTGGTGTCTAGTTTTCCTGGAGTGCAATATGGTCCATTACATTATAGGTCATTAAAAATGTTAAAATCTGAAGCGCTTAAATCAAGCAAAGGAAAGTTTGAGGCACTGGTTTCCATTAATAATGAATGCGTAGAAGACCTACATTGGTGGGTTGATAATATTGAAAATGCTTTTAAGCCGGTTGAGAGACCCAAGGCTGATATCACCATCCACACAGATGCATCTAAGATGGGATGGGGAGCGGTAGTAAATAAAACTGCAATTGGGGGGCGATGGACTAGCCTCGAATCCCAAGAACACATTAATAGTTTAGAACTTAAAGCTTTGTTCATGGGCTTAAAATCATTCTATAGAAATTTGCAACACAAGCAAGATGTCCAAGATGTGCTACATCATTCAAAGACATTGGTCCCCCCCATAACAGATATCACCTTGAAAGATTTAACGCTGAAGTTGACTATGCTAATTGCGCTGGTATCAGCTCAGAGGCGTCAATCTATTCAATTGTTAAATATTGACTATATGGTCAAAGATGACACCTTCTTACGTGCAAGCCTGGAAATAATTTTTGAGGACCTGCCTGTCAAAATGACCAGCACCAATGAATTTGTGCCTGTCATGAAACAAAATGTACTGGTCATTGTACCGGTCTGCCAAAAACATAGGATACAGAATATGCAATTGTTAAAATCATTTTATACATGTATATGTACACAAAACAATGTCAATTATGTCTATAATGAATAATGTTATAACGCTGTTTCAAAGACAAAGTACTGAACTACAAGTCTTCAGGCAAAAAACCTACAAAATCACTAGCTTCACTGTCAGTGTCACTGAAAAGTAAAGCAGCTGTACGGCCAGAACCAGATGAATCTGTACCATCATTAGAAACTTCCATGTCTTCCACATTGTTAGATTCTGAAGCCGGTGGTGCTGGTGTGGTATCAATCACATCATTGATGTCATCAACAGAATCATCAGAATTTGCATCTTTTTCAGACACGTGATAATATTTAACTTTCTTTTTTCTAGCTCTATATTTCTTTCTTCTCTTCTGATTTGGCCGTCTAACTTTCTGACTTTGCCACATCTGAACAACAGGGCTAGCATCAAACGAACCAAGGGGAGGACCTTCCTCCTCAATTCTAAGAACATTTGTTAGCCTCTCTTCGCCTAAAGAACATCTTGCATCACTCTTTGTTCTCTTGAGTTTGGAAAACAGGCGTTCTAGTTTTGCATTGCAAATTGGCACAGAAAACAACAGTTTGACCAAAAGCAAAATGTTCTTCCACTTGGAGGAATACGAGCAGTTAAACAAAAGTCTCCATGTCTTCTTGTAGTTGGCCTTCTCTGACTGAAGAAAGTTTACTGTATGACTTAGCATATCGTGCCACTCTTCAAGAATAGCTTGATTATAGTTGCTTGGACAGAGGCCTTGCTTTAATAAAATAGGACGGAACTTCTCCAAAATACCAGTAATCATGTTATCTGCAAACTCGACTCCGTCCACTTCTGCTAGTAATTTCCAGTGCTCCGTGTTCAAGATCTTCGCTACAGACTCTAATTCAATGCTACTGGCACCTTCCAATCTGGCATCTACAGTAGAATGAATGGATTCTATGACAGTGTTTTTTGAAGCTTTAACATCAGCCGCAGCTTTGTTGAAACTGTGGACTGGAAATTCGATTCCTTGATAAGTACATGTGGTGTCTGTGACTACCAGTTTATTTAAAACATGTTTGACAGATGGAAGGTCTTCAAATGATTTCGACATCAACTGGTCAAGGGATTGCTTGGATCGCTTAAGGTTATGTATTGCTCCAACACTGTCAATTGGATCATCTTGGAATGCTTTAGACAAAATTGCAGCAGGATTGAGAACATCAATAAACAGTGCAACATATAAAAGCATGCGACTAGATTTCCATTTACGTAAATAACCTTTGAGTTTTTGACGATCTGTGACTTCTTTATCACTGCTTAAATGTTCTAAATGTTGCATGTAAACACCATATTTGTCAAGAACAATTCGAAGTGCTGATAACTTGAATGCGATCCATCGTGTTCCAGAAGCACGTTTTGGTTTCACAGAGCCTTCTTCAAATTCATAGTTGAGTAAATCATGAAGTTCTTTCAGTTCGTGCATTTTCTTGGGAGATTTATGATACAGGGAATATAACTTCGTCAGCATATCACCAACATCGTCAAATACTGTGCCATTTAGTGCGTCTTTGACGGCAAGCTCCAGTTTGTGTGCAACACACCATGTGTATACTAGCCAAGGAGCATTTTTCTCCAGAAGTGCTTTCACTCCATTTTTGTTTCCACTGTTCACGGATGCACCATCAGCTCCAAAACCCACTAATTTAGAATACAATTCATTTGGCAAGATCCCCAGTGACTCAAAACTTTGTTCAATTGCACTCGTAATACCTTCTGCGTCTGCCTTCTTTACATCTTTTAGACACAAAAACGAAAGTTTGACTTCTACTTCCTCTGGATTTGACTTAGAGTGGGGATCAAAATACAGCACATAAACGACTTCTTTCTCAGTTACTGAGTTGTCTGTACTACCGTCTGTTAAGACACTATAAAATTTTGCTTTTGTCAAATCTTCATTCAGCTGATGAGCAATAAATTGGGCATTCACATCAATAAATTCACCACATTGTTTTCGGTTATTGTAAACATCACCTAAGTCAACACCATGACGTTTCTCCAGTGTAATTAAATCTTCAAAGACGGTAAATGGCAACTCGTTTTTGGCAACAAAATACACGATGTCAAACTTCTTAATTGTTTGCTCTAGCTGGGTTTCATTTAACTTTGAGAAACCATCTTCTAGAGTGCGTTGACTGGGATGAGGCCTAAGCGGATTTTCCATATTGCTAGACAATTCGCCTTTGGATGTTAAATTCTTAATATAGAGATCGTATGCATGCCGATGACACTTTGTTGCAGCGTGATCTTGTGCGTTAGATAAACGAAGGTTACATGACCCTTGTATCCACGCATTAGAAAAATATCGATTGTGCTTTATTCTTTCTTCAAACGTTGTGCACACCATGCATTTCATCAATTTGACTTGGCCGTGCCCATTTTCTTCATGATTTAGCCACACAAAAGCGTTGGATGGTGCCAAATCTTCGCTAATCCACTTTTTTAATGTGCTTGATTTTAACGTTCTGTCAGTTTTTTTTCGCTGTGAAAGATTAGCTAAATCTGAACTTCTTTCACTAGTAGTTGCTGCAGATGCTTCACTAGTTGTTGCTGCAGATGTTTCACTAGTTATTGGTGTGGATGTTCCCCTGGAATTACCTTCACTATCATTACTTTTGTTGGAAAAAAAGTCCGTTATTTTCTTCGACATTTTAATTTTTTCGCGGTTCAACAAAAAATTCCCGCCAAAATCGCGAATGACGTTTCCACTTGGAAAACAGTTTGATCATCATTCATCACCAGGATTTTTTCATAGTGGAAACACTGCACAAACATGGCGTCGCGTTTAAAGCATCGTGCATTTTCAATAAACGGGATAATTTTAAACTTTATAGCACAAATAATAGAGAATTTGTCGACAGCAAGATTTTTTATTTTATTTTCGATATTTGGGTTGAATATAAAGAATTTGTTGACAGGAAGGTTATAGTTTAAACACTGAAATGAGCGCCGGACAAAGTGACAGACACAATCAAATTTGTGCCTGTCAAAATACTACAAATCGCGTATTTGTGCCGGTCAATGACCGTGACCGGACGCTTATTTCCAGGCTTGCTTACGTGTTTACTATAAAAGACCATATAAAACAGTCAAGGCCTGGATCCAAGGCGAACGCAAATGGATTACACATAGATGATATCCTTAAAACTGCCAGATGGAGTTCAGAGTGTACATCCTTCAAACTTTGTCAGAATGTACACCTATATGTAGTATTAATGTTGTGAAAGTTTTATTTCGATCGGATAAATATTTAAGGAGAGAGACGTTGAAATTGGTTTTCCAGGCCACTTTCGGTTTTTAGAGGTCATTTTACGGCACTACCAAAATCGCTCTATTTTGCATGATAGTGGAAATATTTCACAAAACATGATTTCGTTTTACAAAACATGATTTCGTTTTACATGATTTCGTTTTTTGATTAGCAGACGAAATTTAGAGACATTTCTGTAAAAAGTGAATATTTTACAGATTTTCTTAATGTTTTTTTATTTTCGAACCTCTTTATTATATGCCATATTAGGCAGCAAATATCTCCATTGTTACATCGATTCAGACAAAAAATTCAAAACCAGGTCAAAGAAATATGTTTTCGCTTGATATTGAGCTAATAATATTTTGGGGCAACTTAGAATTGAATTTTTGATGAATTTTTTCGTAACTCCTATTTCACCCGAATAACCATAGGTTACATAATCAGTGTCGAGTCATGTAGTTCAATAAATAACCAAAGAGCTCATCAAAAGCGTTTATTTCTTCGAGTAAACAAGCCTAGGCCCACAAAAACTACCTTAGCTAAAGCTGTACGATTGGTTAGAAGCATTTAGGTCTAAATCACACTGTTTACAGTCGCTTATTGTTCAGGTAATGCCCGATAGCCAGTGGCGCTGATTTGGTTTCAATTATATTTTATCAGGGATATGCCGCGATAAGTATATAGCGAGTATATTTTCTCTCCCCCTCCCATAAACATGTGTTCTCTTAAGACTCGTCGTGCTTATATACTTTTCGTACATAAATAGTGCACACGTTTTTTGTTTGTTTTTTGACGTATTTTTAGTCGTATTTCCGGTTGGGTTAGCTCATTTCGAGCCTCAAGCTCACAGCCGGACAAGAAATGGAAATACCGTGATAAGATGCAAATTTGAAGATACAGGCTTGCACCTAACACTCTGAATAGTGTTTTATGAGGTTATGCAATAACAAAGGTTAACAGCTAGGGAACCAAGCCTCGTTACGTCGGCACATCATGTGACCAAAAGGGGGCCGGGCGAGTATGTAATAAGAGATTGGACGCGCATTGGTGGTATTAGTAATCATTGTGCGTTGGAAGCGTAGTAAATGTATTAGGAACAAAGATTTAAAATTGGCTCGTCCTGTTGCCTACATATCACCAGAGTTCGTGATCGGGCTTCAGAGGTCAGACGGCAGTATCGCAGGTTTCTAACCGTACTGGCAGGGCACCAACGGAAGGAGTGTCGCAACTCGAGATGATGGGAAACCCACCGCAAGTTTTGCTCGTAAAAAACAACAAAAACCCGGTCAGGTAGGCGATAGTTCTCTTCACCAGAGTACAGGTATGTTTGTTGTTCATTTGTTGACGGTATTAATGTTGCGGCGGAATCCGAGACTATTCCCGCAGTTAGCAGCATGCTCGGCGGTGTAAGCTAAAATATAAATAAAGAACGGAACTGCCCCTGTTTACCTTTGAGGGCACAACGGTGGTGCAGAAACTTAATGCGCATATAAAGTAAAGAACGCGGTTATAGAATGGGTAGTATGTTTTATAATAGCTATACGGCGGTGCTCACAACCCATATTCACGTCAAGGTCGCGCGATTTGTGGGTTTACATGGCGCCGATCATTCGGACAACTAAACGTTTCAGAGGCAAAGCACAACGGATTCCGCTGCTAATAATTTACGCGCATGGGGTGTTATGCTTTATATAACTACCACACGGCAGTGGTAAATCATCCGGGTTAGCTAGAAACGTGCCTAGCCCGACCGCACAACGGAGCTTTCGTGAAGAAGCTCAAGCGCATTCAGAGTACAGTGAGTGATCATGCAATCGCAAGGTAATCAAACGTTGCACCTGGTCTAGTTCTGTTAAATGTCTGTCAACACGAACACCTAAACACAGTTGTATTAATAGACAAGTTTCCTATTAAAGTTCAGGATTTGCAACTTGCCGCACTTCCGGACTGTTCTAGGTCGAATTTATTGTTAGTTGTCTTCGCACGGGTTTCACAGGGATATTTTTACATCTTCGGTTAGCTGCCAGTTAGCGGCCTTAGCTCATCCTAATGACAGTGTCCAATGACAAATATCTATCAGACGAAATTCGAGTTCGAACTGTGGCAGGTCCATTTGATACACCACCTTTTCCTAATTACATTGACCTCAAAGGTCAAGTGTCTTAAATCGCTAAATATCTGTTTTCCTGGTTTTTCTTTTTTTTTTCGTCGTCGAGAAGTCGATTTTGCGTTGGTGTATCGCACGCTCAGTTTCCAGTGTTACAGTTATTCCAGATTACTATACAGATCAGTTTTCAAGATGGCGGCCATTCAAGGAGTGACCAGTGGTATCAGTCTTCAACAACATATTTCGTTGTCAACACATTTTAGCACGTTTTTCTGTGGATTAGTCACCGTGTCACGTTTTATATTCTTGTCTATTGCACCACAGTGCGTATGTCGTCATTTTTCGGGTCGGTGTGAGCGCCTGAGCGGGCGTCTTGTTTGCATGAGAGTCGATTTGGAGTGATTCCAAAGAAAAACAAACCGCGCAACGTTTGATTTGAGACATATCGTTTCCAGCTGACCACAGCGTGAACGATGGGATTTAAAAACGAATCTCCAGTAGTTTATACTATATAGTACTGTACAAGATGCCATCCGAGTAATAGTAAAGATTGGTTTAATAATAGGAGGCATTAATGGGCAAATGGACACCCAAGGATGTACTGTATTATCCACATTTATCGAGGTGATCGATACTTGTTAGGTATGAAATGGTGGGGACAATATCTTGTTGATCTTGCTTTTATTCGAGTACTTCTATCATGAGCCCCTGGCTCGAGTGATTGGGCAACCACACTCTGTGTCATTCGACATTAAATAAATTATTCTATTCTATTCTATTCCCTTTGGTCTACGAAACGCCCCGGGAATCTTCAACTCGTTGGGGGATGTGGTCGAGTGGATTTTACAGCACAACTGTCGTGTTGCCGATTTTTTGCATTACCTTGACGATCGATTTTTTCACACTTGGCCCAGCTGGTGCTATTGTTTGCTCGAAGTCTCAACGCCTTGCAGGTACATCACTCGAAATTGGCAGTCCCGTTTAGCTCCGGACAAATGCGAAGGTCCAGAACGGCGAAACCCTGTCGCGCAAGCAATTAGTTTCGTGGATACACGATTCAGCGGCTTGGTTATGCCTCGAGGGCAACTACTCAGGACATAGCTTCGAATCGGAGTGGCGACAACGGCTGCGTCGGCTGGTGTTGTTCCTGACTTAACTTGCACGAGTAATTTAAAGTGGGATTTGGGATGAATTGGGGTAAGCACAAATAATATTCGATATGAAACTAACAAACTCGTGTGACATGTTGTCTCTTGTGTTTGGGCTTACAATGGAGAAGACGGCTAACAAGAGCGCAGTTACCATACAGTCTGGTATCACTCGTAGGTCGCATTTTGCAAGGTGTTCCGTTATATACCATGCGGGCTAGTATTGCTTGTGACCCACAATTGGTTACGTTTTATACCATACAGTCTGATATCGCCCTATGTGTCGCAATTCTAACAGAATCCTTTTACAAAAGGATGCATGTGACACAAAATACCCAATCTCAGAAATAGCAAAAATCATTTAACTCTTCCAAAACCTAGAACAGAATATCTAAGAAGAAGCTTTAAGTACAGCGGCCTATGTTATGGAATGACCTTTCATCTGCAGCTAAATCGGTGGATACTCTCGATTGCTTCAAAAAAGAGATAGGTGCAAGCTAGACGATGACTCTGTGCTATATGTGCTAATCTAACTTTTGTATATAGTTGTATATAATATTTTTAAATTGTAACTTTGTAACTTAATTATTTTCTTTGTATTGTTTGTGTGACGCCCCTCGTGGAAATCAGCACCATGTTGACGAGACAAGCGTGTTTAAATAAAGTTTTTACCTACCTACCTTCGTTATATACCATACAGTCTGGTATCGCTTGTGGCCCACAATTATTTGTTACGTTTTATACCATACAGTCTGGTATCGCATATGGGTCGCAATTTGCAATACGTTTCATTATGTGCCATACAGTCTGGTATCGCTTGTGGCCCACAATTTGTTACATATTATACCATACAGCCGGTCTGGTATCGCCTGTGGGTCGCAATTCGCAATACGTTTCGTTATATACCATACAGACTGGTATCGCTTGTGGCCCACAATTTGTTACGTTTTATACCATACAGTCTGGTATCGCATATGGGTCGCAGTTTGCAATACGTTTCGTTATATACCATACAGTCTGGTATCGCTTGTGGCCCACAATTTGTTACGTGTTATACCATAC